AATCTCTGATAGAGTCACTTGGTATTTTGCGGAGATTCGCTTCCTGCTCGGGACTGTCTGTTAATTGGTCTAAATCGCAATACCTCTCGTCTGCTACCCAGTTGCAACAGGTTGCCAGGATTAAATATTTGGGTCTGACTGTATCCACCTCTGTGTCAGAATTCGTGGCGCTTAATGTCTCCCCTGTGATAGCCCAGTTTAAGGCCCGGCTCTCGTTCTGGAAAAATCTGCCCGACTCAGATTGGCCGTGTTAACCTGGTTAAAATGAAATTGCTACATCTGCTCCTGTATACCTAGCGTAACTCCCCGGTGTGGATACCGAAGCGGATTTTTAGAACGTTTTATGCTTTGGCGTCTGAGTTCCTTTGGAATGGGAAGGCACATAGGATCAAGTTGTCAATCGTTCAACTTTCGTGGAGGGAGGGGGGGGTTGGCAGCCCCTAACTTCTACTACTATTTTCTGGCAGGTCAACTAACGGTTGCTCCCAGATGGCTCACGGTACGGGACTCCAATCCCGCGGTCACCTTGGAGGCTGCCTTGGTGGGATCATATGAAGCCCTGGGTCATCTGGTATATAGGGGTAGACACTCTCCACATCGTCAGACACCCTCCATGAGAGCGGTGATGACGGCTTGGACTGCAGTGGAGGGCCGGGTGGTGGAGCCTAGGATGTCTCTCTCCCCACACACACCATTGTGGAGAAACCCTCGTCTTAGTCAGTTTTTGACAATTCAGGACCCAGTGGTGTGGACCTCTAAGAAAATCCTTACAATAAGCGATGTTGTACAAGGGGCAGAGTTGCGCTCATTTGAGGAACTCAGTGTGACGAACTAAGAGCGCAGAGAGAGAATACACAGAGGCAAATTACACGGAACCCGGCGTGTGGGGTGTTTATTGGGGAAGTCAGGTATACAAATCAAGGTACAAAAGGTTAGGTCCTGGGGGGGTTGCAGGCCACGGGGAGGGTCAGACCGGAAGGTAGGCAACGGGCCAAGGAAGGAATAAGTCCAGAGTCACAATGCTAGTAGTCCAGGGGTCAGAGGTGCAGCAAGGGGTAATCCAACAGGTAACAAGGCACCGTGTCAGTACATCCAGTACGGGTAGAACAACAGAACCCAGCAGTCCTCACAGCAGCAGGGGAGCAGAGCAGGGAGGGTTAAGTCCGTATCCCTTTGAATCCACAGACAGAGACCGGCCTCAGCGCAGCCTCTAGTCCACCAGTCAGCGAGGAAGAGAGCATGCAGCCTTCCCACCAACACTTACAAGGGTCCCGGGAGGAGCCGGCATGTGAGGGGAGGGAAGGGGGAGTACACAGGCTGTTGCTGAGCAACTACCCCCCTCCCCCCCCCCCATGTGTCCTTTGTTCTGGAGAGGCTACAATGTAGAGAAACAGCAGACATGTCCTGGCTTGTCTCTGTGCCACTTTCTCCACACTCCGGTCCACTTACTCACTGACAAAAAGCCACTTTTTCAGGTACCTCCAGTTAAGTCATGCCTTCCGTACGCAGTTGCCTGGGGGCGGGCTGACCCTCTCCATCTCAAGGATAGAGTCCTTGCTACGCACTGAGGGGCTCGATAAATCCTTATCAGTCATATACAAGACACTGTCACTCAAGGGGAGGGAGGCCTTGGAAGGCTGTCACAGAGCCTGGAGAATGGACTGCCCTGACTGGGTCCAAGGGGACGAGGAGGAGATCTGTGACAGCTCTATGACGACCCTGATATCCACAAGAGACAGGTTAATCCAATACAAAATAGTCCACAGGGCATACTACACGCCGGCCAGGCTAGCCAGGATGTGGGCCTCGGCCACTGCTACATGCTGGCGGTGTCCACATGAACCGGCAGATCTTACCCATGTTCTATGGAGTTGCCCGGTGATTCAGTATTATTGGCAAGGTGTGACGGAACTAGTGAAAAATATAAATAATACCTCTACCTGTTATTCTATGCAAGAAAACTCCTAGTCCTCAATTGGAGGAAGGCGGAATCTCCAACCCTGGGCGCATGGAAGGTTTTGGTCAACACCTCACTGCCATTACACAAGGCGGCGTATGCCTGCAGGGGGTGCCCTCAGAAATTTGAGACGGTATGGTCAGGGTGACTTGAATCCAATACTTCGCTAGTGAAGTGATCACCTACTATGGGGATGGCTGGCCAGTGGGGTGTTACCTGTGACGGTCCCACCTACACTTCCTACATTCCACGGGACAACCCTGAGGGGGAGGGAAGGCAGTACAGAGTTCACCCTAAATCTGTTTTCAGCACGGTTCCAGGCGCATGGGATGGAAAATTGACTAATTATTGCACATGGGCTCTTTAAATGTTTGCTACTCATTATGCTGGGACTTGAAGGGGGATGGGGGTGCATTGGGGGATATCTAAGGGGAGGGGGAGACTGGTTGGGGCTATTGTTTATGTTGGAATGGGCATATGTAATGCCGTAATGTATTGATAATGTGTTGGTGTCATGTTGTACACTAAAATATGCAAAATGAATTTAATAATAAACAGATTTATTACAATGGTATACTTTGTCATGTAAGGTGTTAGAATAACGTAAAACATACCTTTTATGAGACGACCATATGCCAGGCGGACATCTCTTCATACTGAACATATAGACAGCAGCTTCAGCAGTTGAAAACAGACGGCAGAAGCACAGGAAGGAACATACCACCACAGCTGATGCAGCTCTTCCATCCTTCAATGTAAGCGTATGTTTATTACAAATGAACAATTATTTCTTTACAGCAGTATGAACAAATATGGTTCATAACATTTTTTTTTAAAAAGGAGCGTCGACCATCAATTGTGGTAAAATTAGGTACCTCGGCTTATATTCGGGACGGCTTATACTCAAGTATATACGGTAATGTGCATTTATTATTTTTTTGCATTGCAGCTAGTAAAGAATTGCAACCACGATCAGTGAATCATGGGTGAAATCCTCTGGAACAGTTTGCAGGAGCCAGTCGTCCATGTCCTTACCAAGGTACAGACATTCAGTCAAAGGAATGGAAGGAAATGTCAGCGTGACTTTAACAATGTACTGCTCAAGTCCCATCCCTCCCTCACTTTAGTGCCCGAAAGCTCGGCATTATGTGTAGGAGATAGCATGCTGCAAGGTAAGATTTTTTTCCATACTTTGCAGCACCCTCCACACAACCTTTTATTGATAATTACACACCCAGTGCGCTGTGCAAATTACCATTTTCCCCGGAGTGCAGCTTTAAATCCTTGCAATGTATATAATTTCCCTTCATCAAATACATATTGTTTCATTTCAAAGAAGGGTTGTAAACTGAAGTTATTAACGATCAGCAACAAATAAAGAAAAGCACACATGAAACAAACTTATGCAAGAAAGCTGTGCATTAGGAAATGTACTTACAAGGCAGTGTACAATGCAAACATTCTTTTGATCCTGTTTCAGCCATAAATGCATATTTTTACAGATGCTGTAAAGATTCATGAGGTTTGGAGCACGTCTTCCAGGCCAACCACATTCAGACACCTGTGTAGAGAGCACAGTTCTTTATATTACAATCTGAACGTCTGCCAGTGCTTCCTGTGAATTCAAATCTGAGTGATAAAGCCTGAAAAAGCAACCCACAGCACATGACAATTCAGAGAGAACTATCCATTTACGGCCTCAGAACAGTGCCAGCAGGAATAAATAAATGAAGCAGAAAATCATATAAGCCTCTGCTCAATCTCATCCCCTATAGCGTATGGCCTTGCAAACCTGACAGGTCTCTAGCGCACACACACCACTAAGTAGTAACTACACTCTTGTAGAGAGATTTTTTACCTTTGCTGTGTACTTGCCCATTGCAATATACAGGGTGTGCATAATGATTCGGCAAGTGAGTATTTTGACTAAATCACCAATTTTATGCATATTGTCCAACTCCAAGCTGTTTGAAGGCTTATTGGATTTAAGCATATCAGGAGATCTCGTCTGTAATTCACATACCTTATAAGAGGGGGTTTTCATTACACACATCCTAGCAAGATGCTTCTACCAGATGATTGACTAAACCAGAAGCAATTGCCGTTCCTTTTTTAATGTGAATATATTGAGAAATTAAAGGCTATTATTTATGCCTGATCGTGCTTTACAACAATACATAATTACACTATTAGATGTTGCACCGCAAACTGAAAGAAACTGATAAGTCTGCCACATATTGGCAGATATTGACTTTGCTGAGAGGCGTTATTGATCTGCCTTTCTTGGTATTTGTTTTGATTGCATGCCAGCTTATTGCATCTCTAGGCACTCCAGTGGTAGGATATCCCAACCAGAATCCAGCCCTGCCTTACAGCTACAGTCATCACAGAACCAAGTAATGAAAGAATGCCTCCCTGGTGTATTTGCAGTAATGTTGATAAAAAAATAAATATTTGGGACAGTTTTCTCTAGGTCAGGGTGAGTCCACTGCACAAGCCGGACACACGCCCGCAGAGCACGCCGCCGCGACTTACAAGGGTTCAGAAACAGGTAAGGGGGACCTGTTTTAATGTTTCCCGTTTAAAAAAAAAAAAAAGTGGCACACTGTAGAACACCAGCAGCTATAGAGGAAACACCAAATCCCAGCAATAATACATTAAACAGCCTGTATAATGTATTATTGCTGGGATTTGTTGTTCCTCTATAGCTGGTGGTATTCTCCATTCCGCTGTATAATGTATTATTGCTGGGATTTGTAGTTCCTCTATAACTGGTCAGTGGTAATCTGCATTGCGCAGTATAATCATTGTACAGCTGAATGGAGAATACCACCAGGTATAGAGGACTACAAATCCCAACAATAATACATTATATACAATGCAGAATACCAGCAGTTACAGAGGACTACAAATCCCAGCAATAGTACATTATAGCATATTTTGAGAAAGAAAGACGCAAATTAACTGCTAAGATTTGAGAAGAATCAAATGTGAAGCTACCAGAAAACCCATTATTCTCCAGTGCTGTCATATGCCAGAACTGCAACCTAACAGGAGTGCCCAGAAGTGCAAGGTGTTCAGTGCTCAGAGACACTGCCAAAGTAAGAAAGGCTGAAAACCGACTACCACTGAACAAGACACAAGTTGAAACGCCAAGACAGGGCCAAGAAATATCTTGACAGTTTTCTCAAAGGTTGAGATGAGTCACTCTTGACAGACCAGATGGATGGACCTGTGGCTGGATCAGTAATGGGGATGCCAGCAAGGTGGAGGCGGGGTACTGGTATGGGCTGGTATTATTAAAGATGAGCTAGTTGGACCTTTTCGGGTTGAAGATTAACTCAAAATCAACTCCCAAACCTACTGCCAGTTTTTAGAAGAGACTTTCTTCAAGCAGTGGTACAGGAAAAAGTCTGCATCTTTCAAGAAGACCATGATATTTATGCAGGACAATGCTCCATCACATGCATCTCCAAGTACTCCAGTGCATGACTAACCAGTAAAGGCCTTAAAAGATGAAATGACATAGCCCCCTTCCTCATCTGACCTAAACCCTATTGAGAACTTGTGGACCCTTCTTAAAAACGAGAGATTTACAGTGAAGGAAAACAGTACACCTCTCTGAACAGTGTCTGGGAGGCTGTGGTTGGTGCTGCACAAAAAGTTGATCATCAACAGATGAAGAAACTGACAGACTCCATGGATGGATGCTGATGACTTATTGAAAAGGGAGGCTACATTGGTCACAGATTTTGTTTTTGAAAATGCCAGAAATGTTTATTTGTAAGTTGTTTATTTTCATCTGTTAAAGTAAGAACGATAAACAAGTGAGATGGGAACATTTTCATTTTCCATTTAGTTGCATAATAGTTGGGAACACTAATAGTTGCCCAATAATTGTGCACACAGATATTCTCGTAAGACAGCCAAAACCTCACTTTTACTTTCTTAAATATTCAGGTTTGAGGTTTCCGCCACAGATCTTCCCACACTGTTTGCATTACTTTCACTGGCATTCAGGGTTAGTACTATATTCTGATTACACACTGTTCTGTCGAAGCAACTCCAGTGTCATACTCTTCCCAATCCTCCTCTGAGCACACTGCCTGCCGTCTTCTCCTCTGCATTCTTCTCTGGCATACACAGCCCACTGTCATACCTTTCAGCATTCCTTTTCTGCACATTTATTTTACCCTCTGCACTCGTCTTCTGCTGATACTGCCTGCATAAATAATTGTTTCTTAATAAAAATACCATAACCCTCCACGTATCATTTTGAAATGTAGTCAAGTCCTGCTCGAGGACTGCTGACTGAGATCTTAATCAGATAAACATAACATTTTGCACTGTACCTGCATTACGTTGCACTATACTGGAATAGGAGTAATTTTATATTGCATTTCCAGTTTTGCAGCCAAAATGGGATAACACCTCCTTAACCACTTGCTGACCGGGGTGTTTACACCACCTTCCTGGCCAGGCCATTTTTCAGTACTCAGCGCTGCAGTACTTTGACTGACATTTATTCCGTCATGCAACACTGTACTGAAAAATAGATTTTATACAATTTTTTTGGGACATATAGAGCTTTCTTTTGGTGGTATTTAATCACCACTGGGGTTTTAGTTGTCTCTATAACAAACAGAGTACCGAAAATAAAATAAAAAATACATTGTTGGAAACATTTATCTTTACCCACTTTTTTGGTAAAATCTAAAATGTGTGGGTAAATGTTATCTATTTTGTGATCAATTTTTTTTTTACACTCAACTTTATCACATAGGGGGCTAAGAAACCCCTATGTGATATCAAATTACAGTGGCAGGTCCACTTTATGGAGACATCACGGGTCTCTAAGACCCATAATGTCTCCTAGGGACCCCCAAAGAAGCTGATGAAGCAGAGATTTGCTTCACAAGCTTCTCTCCAGCTTCTGTAGCCGGAGAGTAACAGCTGAATGCGGAAGTGATTTAGTAAATATCATTTCCTGCATTCAGAGAATGGGGAGGAGAGAGGAGGGAGTTGTGTACTGATCTCCCTCCGTTCACAGAGCCACACTGCCGTTCCCGGATCGGACGCCCGGGAACGCGGCTGCGAGGAGAGGTAAGGAGGGAGCACAGAGAGGTGTATCGTACAGGCGCCGGACCGCTTGTATGTAAACAGCCATCGCTGGCTGTTTCATATTCTGGCAGTTTCCCTCCCGTGCATGAGAGACTTTTAAAGACGCCCACGCGCTGCCAGAAGACTCCCGTCTGGCCGTTTCTGAACGGTTGGCGGACGGGAGGTGGTTAATAATTTATTAAAATGTTCCTATTCACATAGCAGAATTTATGTTTACCATAATTAATCCTGTCTCTACTGTGCTGGCAGATCTCATTAGCAGTTGTGCAGGCCTGTCTGTCCTAAAAAGGGATTAAATATCGTTAAGGCGGGATTGCATGTTGTATTTGAATGCACTTAAAGTCCCTATTTTTGTCGCTTACCTTTCCATGGCCATTTAATTTAAGAAATAGAATCTTGCCTGATCTATGCATAAACCTGCTCCAAAGAAGCAGCTAAAATGGTAAGAAATATTGATTTTGTGGGCATGTACACAAGAGAAAAATGGTACTTTCAACTTTGTGTATATTCACTGTGAATGGGTGGCCCTGCAACCACCATCTGGCTCGACTAAAGTGGATTTAAAATTTATCAAACCCTCTATTGTCAGTTTTTCACTACTAGGTGATTTTTTTTTTTTTTTTTTTTTTAAATAAAGTTTAAATTTCGAATTTTTTCATCAATAATAAAACAAAAATCAGACAGTCAGCCCTAATGTAAGAGAAAAATCAAAAGGAAAAAAAAGGAGTCAACAACCCCTAAAAATTATAAATCAAGGAACAAACAAGGCATGAGGTATATGTTAGGTGAGCTTGTTAAGAAAAGCAAAATGAACACAAAAGGGGAAATATCCACAAATAAATTAAATCAATTTCAAACCAAAACAACTGTACTCTATGTGGGGAGATATCCCACCACATAAATAATGCAGCAAAAGAAAGACTGGGATTTGGGAGTAGTAAGACTCTAGGAGTAAGCATAACCGCTAACCACAACAGTGTGATCTCACAGAGGGTAGCTCAACTTATTATTTTTTTTTTTTAAATGCAATGTTTTTCTTTTAAGAAGAATGACCCTTGGTGTCCATTTTAGCATTAACAGTGTTAAGAGCTCAGTTGTTCTTACTCGATTATGGAACCTGGCAGGTCTGTACTTCCTTAAACTTAAGTTATAAACTGCATAACTCCCAGGATGCTTAGCATCCAGATATAAGCGCACATCTTCAATGTTATTCTTGATGGCAGATTCTACACCTTCTGCAGGAAAGGACATCACTAGGATTTAAACAAAGCAATAAAATCACTATGAAGTACATTAAAAACAAAAAAAAAACATTTTAAGCAGAACGTTTTCATTTAAAAATGTGCTATAAGATGTACCCATTGCAAAAAGAAATGTTATTTATGCATTTCTAAAAATAGATCAACTCAGATCACAGCTATGTCCCTTAAAGTGGACCTGAACTTAAAATGTGAAAATCTGCTATGCTTGAAGAACATTTAGACCAGTGGTTCTCAACCTGTGCAACCTCAGGACCCAGATTTGTCCTTGGTCATTAAGTCGCACCTCAGCCTGGGGTGCGGTGTGGGCTGTTGTGCTGTGACGAAGCTCCATCCATATGTGCAATGCTTGTTCAGCTCTCTTGCGTGCCCTGCAGAGGTGGCGGGAGCAAGAATGTGACGTCACTCTGGTCCAGGCACCTCTACAGGACACATGAGGGAGCTCTAAGCAATGCAGTATGGATGGAGCTCCCTTATGGCCATACCCCCAGCCCACCCCACCTCAAGCTGTCACTCTGCATTGGGCAGCATATTTTGAAAGGCTACTCGGGGAGCGAGAACTGACAGCGCTGGGCTAGAGGGAGGCTGATGAGCCTCTCGCCTTGCACAGTGGAAGGCATGTGGCGACCCAGTGAACATGGGGTTATGGCCCACTTTTGGGTCACGACCCACCCGTTGAGAACCACGGATTTAGACAATATTAATTGTGTGTAAGCAATACCCTGAAAGTGTATAGTCAAAATGTATCTTATAGAATAGCAGTGCATCTCCTGGTATGCGAGGGTGCGTAGACACTTCTGTGCCTACACCCGCATAGCTGTATATTTGCAGTGTGAGATACAAGTCACTATTGCCTGTGATTGCTAGTCTTACCAGATTTAGTCCCCATTCACACATAGGCGTATCGGGAACTTTTGGCAAATGCTCATGGTTAGTTAGTAATAGGGAAAGATCAGCTGTTGGGGGACAAACAGGCAATACCAAAATGTCAGTGGGAAGCAGTCTTGAGAAAGGTGGGTTGCATTCCACCAAATCATCGTCTATTTAAAAACGTTTTTCACATTATTACTTCTGGTGCCCAGTTCTCAGAGTGCCTGCATCCTGTGCTAAATGTTTCACGCAAGTAAGCAACTAAAGCACTTACAATGCAACTACACTGAATCAAGCAGCTGATTTTTCTGTTTTGATTTATAACCACCAGTGAAATAAATGATTTCTATTAGTGTGCTTAGAACTCCTCACATGTGTGCAAGTTATACCATTTAGCCGGCTTAGCCCAATTAATCCAGCATCACCAAGCCTTTACTTTTTTCATTGAAATATTGTTTTTATTAGTTTCTTTACATTTTTATAAATATAATAATACCAACTAAAGAACATACCAGCAATTCTGGAAGTGATGTAAGACAAATCTAAATCTCCTTTTGCATAGCTGAAAGATAGAGAACAATAAAAAAAATAACTGGATTGTAACCCTATTACATAAAAAGAAAAAGAAGTGACTTTAGTTTATTTTTAAACCTTTTGAATCCTGAGGTAATCAAAACGGTGATCAAAACCCTTGTCACCAGACCAAATGTTGTAGTTTTAATATGTAGCAGTTTATTAAAAAAAACAAAAAGCAAAAAGCAAATACCCCGTTTCCCCGAAAATAAGACCTAGTACTATTTTTGGGAATTTCGAAAATATAAGACCTACCCCGAAAATAAGACCTAGTTGTGACCATTCCCAGGGCCAGTGGTGGCATAAGGGGGAACTTGAAGAGCCACGGGAGAGGCAGGAGAGGATAAGCGGTGCCAACGCAGTCAGCACTAGAGGAAGCGAGGCAGCACCGGAGGGAGCAGAGCTGCATAAGCCGATGTCACAGGCGGAGTGATACCAAATGCACTCCGTCTGTGAGGAATCGATAGTAAAAGTGCGCTTCACACATTCTGGCCAGCAATTGGTTAGTAAATTGCTCTTGGAAAGGTACGGCACTCCTGATTGCCCTGATCACCATATTTTTGTACATGAATACATGAAGACTTTTCTATATGAATAAGTGTGGATTGTTGTACATAAAAAAAAAAATAAGACTTACCCCGAAAATAAGACCTAGAGTGTTCTTTTGAGCCCAAAAAAAATATAAGACCGTGTCTTATTTTCGGGGAAACACGGAATTGATTTGCATACCAAAATAATTTTTACACTTTTTGTTAAGCACACATGGGGCCTTCAGTTAATAGACATTTCCTAAACTCATTTACCCTAGGTGATCATGAATACCTCCATACAGTGGCGGAACTACCGCCGGTGCAGCCGGTGCGTGAGCACCGGGGCCTCAGTCTGCGCATAGATGGTGGGACTTGCCAGCCGCCAGATCGGTATCCAGCGGTCGGCAGGCCCTCAGTTTCTCGGCTGGGAGTGTCGGATCATCAGTTCATCTGACACTCCCGGCGTAGAGATGGGGGGCCCGCCAGATACTGATCCGGTGCTATCCAGCAAGTCCACCCATCAATGCACAGGGACTGTGCTGGGCCCCCCCAGGCCGAGGCCTCGCACTTCCGGTGACACAGGATATCCCTGTCCCATTGTGATTGGAAAATGGGAAGGGGTGGCTGCAGAGATTTGATTTAAGAAGGGGGGGCCATGGAGATGTGATTGGAGAAGGGGGACTGAGGACATGTGATTGGAAAAGGGGGTCTTTAGATATGCGATTGGAGAAGGAGGGGCGGCTGCAGAGATGGGAAAGGGACCATGATTTGAGAGGGCTGGGGAAAGGTGATGGGAGGTGCAGGAAATATGTGATGGAAGGGGTGCTGGGAGAGTCCAGGGAGCATATGAAGATAGTGGAAAGAACAGAGGGCATGAGAGAGATGTGGGAGAAAACAGGCATATCTCCTAAACCTACAGGGGTCATTTATAGGTTTAAGAGATAGGTGTCTTCAATCTATAGAAAATAAAATGAACCTATCTAGAGGCAGAACCAGCTGTACCCAGTCCTTCCCCTGTCACGGCTCTGTGCCGTGACAAGATCGAGAAGTGATCGAACGCCGGTATGTGTTCGCTCACTTCCCGATATACTGAGCCCACCTGTGACAGTTTCATTGTCACAGGTCGGCTAGAACTATGAGGATGAGTGAAAAGCACTCACCTCATAGTTCTCCTTTAAGGAAATCTCCAGAGTTGTTCTGACTTCTTAAACCTGTACTATAAATAATGGGGTATACGAGTGTGTGCATGCATGAGTAAATGACTTTGCATTTTTGTATGTATGTATGCATGCAGGGGTGTGGACATTTTGGAAAAAACTACTTGTCCAAGGACTAAAGCGGGGGCCGAATCTACTTGTCCTTCATGACAATCTACTTGTCCTGATACAAAAAAAATAAATTTTAACCAAAACCGTATTTAGCAGTGCTAAGAAGCGCTTCTCATTGGTCAGTGCCCTCAGGTGACCGCGTTGACCAACGAGTCCTTGCAATATGCGAGTGAAATTCAGAATACATAGAACAGGCACATATAGTACACCCGTACTGGTGGAGGGGGAAAGGACCGTTCGCCGAAAGGTAAGTATAGTGGGAGGGAGATTTGTGTGGGTAATTCCGTTTTCCCAAATTACTTGGGATAGTGAATTTACCCTCTAGGGTTGGTGCAGACCTGCGGATTCCCGGGACGTGCGATCGTGTGCGGTTGCATCCACATGTATGGGGTTACATCTGGGTGGCAATCGCTGAAAAAAAGGTAGATGTACCTATTTTCACAACATGCACCGTGCAGTGTTTTCGACCGTGATCGTGTGGGATCGCCCGGGCGTTATTGCTGCAGGAAAATGCGCAATCTGCCTGGCACGACTGGGGTGCCATTAGAAAATAATGGCACTGACAGCACGATCGGCGGTGGTGTGCGATTCCGTGACCACCCAGCCATTCGCTCGGTCTCATGCACGATGAACGGCCAGTCACAGATTGCACACCAC